GGAGTAGTTTGTATTATATACCGGAAGAGTCCATTCTAGCAAAAAGGCAAACATTTGCAAATGAAATACTTAATTCATGATGTAATTGTCTAAGTAAGGAAAATGCTTCATCTTGTATATATTTATAGTATAAGGCTACTTTGTTCCTTAAACTCAAATACCCACTGCGTATTTCTGAGATAGAGGGGAAATCATAAAATCTCAGATGTTACACAGTGCACTGTGAGAAATAAAGGTCTTTATGATAATCCTAACTAAAAAAAAAGCTCAAAAAACCTTTGTTTCTTTTACCTGTTTTAATTTAATGGAAAATTGAAATTATCAGCAGTACCAGTACTGCTGTGTAAACTCCTGAGAGAGGATAAAAGGGGTGTTTGTAGGGAAAGCTGGTATCTTTTATCGGAGGGCTGATGCTGTCACAACAACAGACAGGCTCTTGTGCATAGCAAGCATTCCTTCATTAGTTGCTTTGGGAAGATGATTTGACATTAAGTGCTTTTAAACACCTCTCAAAGCAGGGGATCGCTTCTGAATTGTTGTCAAGCAGTATTTTTAAAATACCTGTTGTCTTTCTTGCAGATCTTGTTACAGAGTTATACCCACGGAAGCCTTACGCTGTGGAGCAAAAAGTTCTAGCTGTCCTTTGGCACCTCCTGGGAAATATGACAAACAGCGGCTCTTTACCTGGAGCTGGAGGAAATATCCGGACAGCCACAGCAAAATTATCAAAAGCACTATTTGCACAGATGGGTCAAAGTCTGTTAACTCACGCTGCATCTCAGCCACCGCACATCAAGAAGAGTTTAGAAGAATTTTTGGAGATAGCAACCTAAAATAACGATCTCTGTGCACGCGTGAACCTCAATCAGCCGACTGACTCGGACAGCCGGACAGCCGTTTACAGGGAGGGACGTGGGACCATCTCCGCGTTGCTGGCGCGCAGTGCCTGCGCTTCCCGTGCAGAAGGGCTGCCGCCGGGAGAGCCTGCAGAGCGCTGGGCTGTGCTGGGGCCGGCTGCCCTCGCTGCCGCGAGGACGGTGCGGGCGAGCGCCCGGTGACGGAGGGAAAGTCGCTCCTGCTCGTCCGCACTTTTCTGTGGAAGATACAGCACAGCGCCCTGTTTGTAGTAGCGGGATGTCAGATTGCTCATGAATAAATACACTTACCACATAGTCATGTTTGGACTTGTTTTAGCACTAAGTTTTACATTGATAAGCGGAAGAAAATCCTGGAGATAATTACACAGTACAACAGGGTTTTGTGTGGTATTTGTGAAAAGTATGTATTTTTTTTTTTTAATCCACTTACACAGTTGTGCAGTATTAGCTTGCTGTGGCTGCTGTTACGGTACTGTAACCTTTGCTTGGTGGCTGGGCATGCTCACCTGCGCGGGAACGTACAGCGCCGGCAGCTCTCAGCCAAGCACGGCGACCCGCTCCGG